AACTTTTAAATGGCTTTCATTGTCTTCCAGTAATTCATCCAATCACAGCACGTAGTTATACAGTTACGGTAAGATACGGTACGGCTACAGAACGGCCAAGGCCATTACCGTATCCTTTCCTACATCTATGTAAACTGGTAAGTAGTACAAAAATACTAAACAATTTACCCGTTAATAACACCGTGAGSGTACGAACCACATAATCCACTAGGGTTTTGTACTGTTCGGATATTCTCTTCTGAATGGGAGGAATAATAATAGTCATCGGCACGTAAAATTGGATAAAGTATGTCAGCAGGACTGAACAAGCGAAAACCAACTTAACTGCTGTATAGTACCTGGAAAAAAACAGTCCTGTGTAAGTTTTGACTCTACAATAATTGAATGGATGAATCGATGGATGGATAGCAAATGGATGGATAGCGAATGGATGGATAGCGAATGGATTAGTAGACGGATAGATCGATGAATTGTTGGATGGATGCATAGAGTGGGTAGAGATGGACGGATCGATAAATGGGTATAATGGAAGGGTGAGTGAGTGTAACAAAGAATGGTAAAATGGAGAATAAATAGAAGGAACGGTGGAGGAACAGATGGACAGAATAATCCTGATAGAAACACTAGACTTACGGTGTGTTTGGTAGATTGAGTGTAAAGCTACCAAGACATTGTGTCCCACACGATAAATACCCTAGTACACTCATAAGAAGATAGATTAGAGTCACGATACCCATACCAACATTGAGAACCAAGTAGAAATAGCGAGGAAGAGCCGTCATGTTTTCTACAGGAAGGATCTACGAACACGAACATCGTATATACGTATGATTAATAATGGATGTTATAGTAATTTTCCATGGTCCTCCCCTCCTTTTATTAAACTTTCAAGATCTGTCTTGTTCAACGTTTCTTTGTTTACTCTATCTTATCAGAAATATTATACTGTGCGCTCAAAAGGTTTTCGAACCGAAAGTTTTATTCATAGACCTATACTTAGGCCCTGGCTAAACGAGGAAACATGTTTTCCTAAATGTTTCCTAAGGTGGAAAGACTGTCAGGAAACATCGGGAAACAATGTTTCCATGCGTCTTGGAAACATGAAATATTTCTGCCGYACAGYAAAAACATTTYTTGCGTCTTGGAAGCAAAATTTGTTGCAWGCAGCAATGTTTCGCATGTGGCTAAACTGGGAAACATCGAGGAAACATGCGCGCGGTAAACAGGTTTCTGGAAACATGTTTCCTCGTTTAGCCAGGGCCTTAAAGTTGCGCTATCATACGAAACCGAAAACATTGAGGGCGGGCCGCAAAACTAAAAGAAAACATTGGGGATGAAAGTACGCATTAGAAACAAAAAAATCATCCTTTAGTTTCTCTTCGAAAAATTTTTTTTTTTTGATATATTCAGTGTTGAATTTCGTAGCTGGTCCGAGGTTTGAAAGCGCGCGCGCTATGTTGAGAAGATGTCCATGGCCTTCAAGCCGCGTAAATAGCTCTCTTCCCTCCCACCCAAACRAGTCCATCTTTAATACATCCCACACTTCCATCTCATCAACTCCTAATATTACCAGTGATCGAATTCACTGACACTACTTACCACACCGATCCCTTCAAAAGTAAACACCACAGACCCGAACGTAAGAGGTAAGGTCTTCCATCCTGCAAAAAGCGGCAAATCTTTCGGATCTTTTATCGTCCTTGCGGCATAAACAAGGACACACACAGTACCGATCACATATAAGACGTTAGAAATCGTCGACATGATAGCAATAACTTTCAATGTACGAATATAAGACATTAGAAGAACGGGTAGAAGAATGATGGCGACCCATAGTTTGACATTTACATCAAAATGACCATGGAATGTCTGGGGACAAAGGCGTTAGATTTAGACGTTAGAATCTAATCAGAACTTTGATATTTGAACATTTATGATAACTAAATTAAATACCTGCTTAAGTGTCTCGGCGACAAACAAGAGATATATACAGCAAAATCCCAGCATAGATATGACAAGAAATGTGTTGACAATTATCCTAAAATGACAAGATCACCCAATAAATTTGATGGAATTTAGCAGAGTCAATCCATGCACTTTACTGTCGGACACACCCGCTTAACATGGACACCTGTCATATATTGTACCCGYGGATGGTAAATTTGCCTGTACAAAGTGGAAATCCCGTAACTACTTTCATTAGTGCAATAGAGACTCCATGTTGTTGATTGTCATATCGACCACTAATCACATCTATCAGCGTCAATAACAAAACACATAATCACCTTCCAATGTAAGATTTCCTTGGGTAATACTGACCAATGCACGATTCTGCGACATCAGCATAAGTTTGGAAAATATCCTTCTTTCTGGACATATGGAGAAGAAAATAAAGTTATCACAATGCATAGTGCCTCAAGGTGCGCTAATATCTAAGTTGCGCAACTTGGCAAATACATGACAAATACATAGCAAATAGACCTGTCAATTCAARTGCCATGTGCAGAGTATTAAACAGATAGTTATTTGCCACATTGTTCTTTGCAAATGCTTACAAAGCAAAAATGTTGTGCATTCACCATATTACTGCACCTGTAGAACATAAATTAAGGATGGATTGTTCATTGTGCCCCCATTACCCTAAACCTTTGTTTCTTCTAATGTTTTTCTCTTTCCCGATTCATCGAAAATGGCATTAAGACTTAATTATATACAGCAAAGGATAACATGGTGTGCAGAGCAGAATGGGCTTGACGAATAGTGTGAAGGTCTCATGTGCCTCCTGACACAATGAGTTAAGATTATGAGGATGATGATGATAATGAAAAAAAAATATAGCAATAATATTGGATTAAAACACAAAGTGTCCTACTCAAACAAATCTTTGGCAGGGAAAAATTACTATCATGGGAGTCAATCTATAGATCTGTGTCATGGTTCTATCAAATTGTTAGCTAGGCTAATTATAGCCTGMATCCTGAATGGTTGATAGCCGTGAAATCAAGCCTATTTAGGAATATTTACCTGTCAGAATGGACATGACTGCATTGAACTAAAAGCCTCATACAATGAATAGAGGTAACAGCCACAACTATCAGCAAAATGGGACCAGCCTGCAGAAGCCAAAAAGATATATATATGTATACACGATGTCTGTACACACTTGATTGCAGAAAGGTTGTAGTATACATTTATACATATATCTAATGAGATGCAAGATATCAAATGAGATGCAGAACGTAAAACATGCTTAAATACGACTGCTTAGCCACTACATTTTGTGGAAAATACTTTTTTAACTTGACATTATGTCTCTAATACRATAGAAGATAAGTAAGACCAAATAAGTTACTGTTTGAGGGGACATATTTCCAAGATGGCATCTATTTCATCCCCTAAAACAGTCCCAAAATGCACTTGGCTTGGCTAATTATGTATACGAGTCAATTCCAAAGGTTCCCATTCCCCCCCCCCCCCCCCCCCCCCCCTGGGCAACCCCCCGGGCATTTGACTTTTTGGGAAAAAATTGGTCAAATTCCCCATCATGCGGGTCAACAAAATGATCAGATGCCCCACCGTTCAGGCTCCACTAAGTGGTCAAACGCCCGCCCCTCCAGTCCGATGAATCTCTAATTTTACCTAAAAAGTACAAAACTGAGCCTGTATACATCCAACAAGTTTCATGTTAAGTACCTTTTGTGATCGTTTTATCATTTAYAGCTTTAATTTTATAAGAATTGAGACTTGAAATCTTTGCCGACTTTGGAATTAGCCGTAAAAATATTTACTGTTTTGGACTCCAAAAACTTATCTTCATCTACTCGTTCTGTACTGTCATCCACATTGAAAAGTTTTGCTTATTTTTCTTTTTAATTCCAAGCTTTTCTTTTCCTGTTTTTCAAAGAAGCGACAAGTATAAGATTGTATTTTGGAACCAAATTTTTGTGGCGATTCCATTTCAATGAGATCGTAATCAATTCGAAGTTCCACCTTTCCTTTGAATAGAGTGCGTAAAGAAATCCGCCAAAAAAGCTTTTCTAACTTCTCTTGTGCCATCCCAGATTTTAAACAAAGGTATTTGGATTTTTTTTTTTTTGGATTCACAGGCGAACCAGAGTCCTCTAAGCACCATCCAAGCGTCAAATTTTGCAATACGCTAATTTATGCAAATTAGATCAGGGCCGCTAGCGATATTTAGTCAAAAGTCAAATGCCCGCTCGTTCGGACATATATTCAATTCTCCACTCTACGGAACTKGACTACGGTCAAATGCCCGGGGTATGTCCTGGATGACGGGAACCTTTGGAATTGACTCATGCATTATAGATAAGTAATAATCTCATTACCAGAAGTCCTGCATTCATCATAGCGAAAGGTAAACTCAACGACCCTATTCCTAGATTCCCTTTAATCACATGCATTAGGCTTGCTGTTATCCTGAAAACCATAAAAAAACATAAAAAACAAAATAAATTCATGTACCAAATCTGTACAAAACAGAAGTTGAAGAACAACATAACCGAAAAAAAACACGAATATATCGAGACCGAACTATCCATACGAACAATGCGAACCAACCCTCCCTATACTAAGGTCAAAAGAAGATTTAACTTGAGTCACCAACAGATCACGAGATAATRAAATAGCAAACAAAATGTGGGGTATAACATATATATTATATGTTAAAAGAACTGAAGGGCAAAACTGAAAACGTATTCAAGTCTTCTGCACTCAGTGATATTTAATATTCATACTGAAAATCCTGCACTGATTAATAATGGAAACATCTTCTACATTTACATGATACAATTATCACGCTAAAAAAGTAAAAACCTCTAGAGAAAAGTTATCAAARGAAGAGGAGAATATCGACAACTACAGCCTTCGTACCAGTTATCCTGGGAAATAAATAATAAAGGTTTATTAGTTTATATATYTTGACTCACGAAGTAGTGTTCTCCAAGTATTGACTTCTATCTATTTCTAGCGTGTTAGGGAAGTCTTCTTTCGATTCGCTTTGGTTCGGTAACGTCGAGTAGCTTTCACTTGGATCCTCTAGGAGTAACGACTTCTCAGATTCTTGATAGCCATTACTAGCAGGGTTTAATGATGTGGCTYCGGGGTCGTTTCTGGTTATCGAGGCGTCCATCTTGTTGCAAGAAATGTAATGCAATCTATCGAGTACGATATTACATTCACCACAGGGAGCCCAATCTACCATCCGTCTTTTCTCTAAAACAACATCACTATTGATCTATTTTCAGTTTTGAATAGAGCAAAGGTTTCTGTATATTTTTTTTTACGTATTTCACTCTTATTTACGTTACGAGAATGATTTTTCTCGAGGTCTCAGGACTGCAACTAAGATTCCAACAACCCACCAGTACCCCACTACTGCAATCTTTGACCCCACCTTCTGCCCTAAGAATTATACTATATAAGAATAATATTTTGTTACCTATCATGAACCTATAACTCTGGACAGTACCTCGATTCCTGGCAGTATTCAGCAGCAATCTAATGCCGTTGAAACAAATAACTGCACCATAATCTGAACTTCACTACTTAGARGAGTGAGCCTTGCATGACAACACTAAAAGCAGGTGCTATGGTGCATAGGAGGCTATATATTCTATAGATTACAAATGCTGAAAGCATGCAACATTTTGCACTAATTAGCAGCAATAGGCCATTTGCATGATGGTGTCATTTTACTACCACACCTTATTCAAATTTGTATTCCCTCATGAGAATAGTAAGACAATTGTTGCTAATTAATAATAATAATAATAATATTTATTTAGACAGATTGATATTACAGCATGGCGGATGTGGTCGTGTATAATTTTAAGACTATAATAAAATAATATTATTGGAGACGAGAAGAAAACATTAAAATAAGTGAATAAAGAAATCGATGAATAAAAGAAAAGAAAGTGTGCAAGGGATTCTGGTAGTGGTAGTAGATGATGCTATAATGCAAGTGTCCTATTGAGCAATAGAAAACAATGGGGATAACAGTTTATAGTGCTAATTATGTTTTATGGCGAGTGTTTGTTCTCTTACAGTGCMTCCATCAACTCAGCGAATCTCTTAGAAAGGTGTAAACAGCTATTTAAAAAAAAGTTGGCCAAGGTTTCGTATGTTGTATAACAAGCTTGAAAAMATATACTGGAAACATGCAGTCAAACCCAGTTAAACCTGAAAGTTTGGTAAAATTCCATGTTGTTGTAACCTTTTGCCAGTTGGATACATACCTCCAATAGTGCATTCTGGGCTTGGTATGCAACATGTGACAAAAACCTTTACCAATCTATTTTGCAATAACTGAATTCTAGCATTTGAACACCCAACTTGCAAGTCGATTTTTTTTTCGTCATGCTAACATTGCACAACATTTCAACATCTCAGATGTCATTATCCAGTACACTTGAATAGAAATAGCAAGCTAAATATGTTGCAGAAGATTGTAAGCATATTTTAATTTCCATTTGAATGTTTTTKATTAATGACATCTGGAATGTCGAAATGTTGTACAATATTTTATCACTGATTTTGTCGTTCGATGTTTACAAAAATCTCTGCTTTATGTAAAATATTCCCAGAAATATCTTAGTACACGGATATAAACTTRCTTCAAACAAATTCGATGTACATGAAGTGAGCAAACTGATTATCTTGAGAGACCATACACTATTCTATTTTAGACCATTTTGATATATCATGGTATAAATCTTGGTTGGATGAAAGCGTGGACCAAAGCCACGGTTAATAGACCATTTTTGAAGTGAACTACCACTGCGTTCTTTGATTACATACTCATTCATAAAGGGGTGTCCAAGTATTCAAAAATACCAACGGAAAAGTAAAGAATGCAGAATGTCAACAATACAAATACTTCAAAACTCCAAGGACCCTCTCTGGRATGCATGTATATTTAAAGTCATTCCATACGAAATGGAAGCTAACCCGGCCTGTAGAACTAGAGTATTGTGCACCTCTAACATATAAATATCAGTTTATTTATTCCTCATTATTGTGTTCTAAAAAAACCAGGATGACAACAATATATCCTTCCACTTCCAACGTATGTAGGATTGCTTTGATCTTGGTATCAAAATTGGGTCACAAAGGCATTGCTAGTTCAATAGAGAGGCAAGTACTGAACATCTGCATGAAGACTGTCTGGTAGAATAACTGGGCAATAAGCAAAGTAGGGCATATGAAGGAAAAAAATAATACATTTTATGCTATGTTCTATGGGCACTCTTTGGTATATTAAATTCCTGATCCAATTCTTTCATCTTCATTTGCTCTTTGAAACGTTCTGTTTTCCTTTTGATTCATAGCTTCAAACTATGAATAATCAGAATTTTAATACATTGAGAAGAGTGTATATATTTTCTTTTAACACATAAAAACAAACTAAAAGACATAGAAAAAAGAAAGGGTTGTAACTGTATTAATAACGAACAAATTCAATTCATTCACTATGCAAATAAAGATCCACATTTCAAGAGCTTTAAATGCAGGGGGATTGCTTTAATATATATTTTCATTTCTGCCAAAATATTGCTTTAAGAGGCGATAAAAAAATTGAGGGATAATGTTGTCTAAGCGTCTCACATGACTGAAAGTGTGTTACTTGGCGAATTTCCCGCCCCGGCTTGAGGATCCACTGCTGCGGYGAACGCCTCTTTGATTCCCGCCAAACCCTCCACCACCACGTCCATTMGCACCAGCTCCACTAGGTGCTGTGCGACTCCCTGGTCCTCCGCCACCACTGCCACGCCCACCACCTTTACCGCCAGCAGCTCCTCTTCCTGCACTGGCAGGTGCATCACGACGTGCACCACTTGGCTTCTTTTCTTCAATGTTTATTTCGTGTGTTCCAATTTTGATTGGCTTGAAAGAAAAATGACAGAATTAGATTTTGATTTACCCCCATTGAACCCAGGGTCTTTTTCTTTACCTTGTAGAGAAAAGAAGACCCAGATGGGGCTGGTCATGTGCCCCCAGAATCTGGAAGGTTACTAACTTTCTAATGAGGGACAAAATAATACTGTACCATCACCCATAATGAGTAAAGTATTTACATAAGATAGTAAGCTTAACAAAATTAATAAGCAATGATATTGAATCAGGTCACCATTATTATAGAAAATTATATTCAACTGACTYGCCAAAATGCTGTAAATTATTTTTGTTAAAAACCTTTTATTCCTACAGTACTCATAATAAAGTTTTTGGAAAATTGTTATTATTATGAATTTTTYTCTGGAAATTACCTTCTCTAACAGTATCTGCTTGACAGGATCTGGGCTGTTGAAGATGACAAATCCAAAGTTCTGAAATGTAAATAAATGGATTATATTAAACATCAAGTGTAAAAATTATTTTACTTAATGAAATTGAATGTCCATCCAAAATATCATTATAATAACTATAAATAATAACTAATAAGATACCTTTGGGTTAAGTCTGATCTCCAGAATAGATCCATACTCTGAAAATAAGAAAAATATTGTTAAACTGGACTCTAAGGAATTATAATTTCATCTCTTTATCTTCACTTCGAACTTGACAGTGGAGTCAAGGGCACCAAAACATTGTTCTTTAGAGTGTAAGCAATTAATCCGTGAAACACTAATTACTAAATAGTACAAAATAGTGCTAATTAAACAAATAGAAAACAATGGAATTTGCATRAAATTGTGCTATTTAGCATTAACGGCARCAATGATTGTCGCAAGACCAAAGAAATGCGGCTTATACACCTATTGGGCACTCTTAGTCCCAACGGGATTAATGAACGCTTTACTTTCAACTAACCTTTTCT